CCCAATGTCCCCAGTTAGGGGACAGGGCAGTTATATAACAATGATGCAGCCTGATGAGGGAATATCATAAGGCATTTTAAAAATATCAGAAAATGCTTATGTTTCCAGTGTGTGTATGTGTATAAATCTATAGAAAGAACAACACTGAGATGTAAAATTAATAAGCTCGGGGAAAAATCTGGAAGAAATGTATCATCATAAAAATGAACAGCCATCTGGGCAGTTAGATTTCTGCACTTGCCAAATTTCCACCATGGGCACATAGCTCTTCATTTCCCTTCAGGTTTTATGACCTGCTAGAATGTTCTGGGGTTGTTACTACACCAGCTCCCTGGGCTGAGGGCCTCTCCTTCCTCTGCTGCCACTGCTCCTTCCCAGCATTCCCTTGATCAGCTTCCTCTGCTGTCTTGGGTGTTCACGGTGGGGGGGGGGGGGGCCCCTCTGGGTTTGGGGAAAGTGCCTGGACTTGGTCTGCTGAGAACACACTCCGGGCTCGCCCAGACCCCCTCTGTGACAAACACTACCGCTGTGCTCTGTGGGGGCCCGATGACTTGTGGCCCCTGGTGCACACCTGTTCCCGAGAGCGGAGTGCCTGGGACTTTGAGGGCAGAGAGTCCTAGGGCTCCCCAGCCACCTGCCTCTCAGCCCCACCCCACCTCCCTGCTTTAACTCCGTGCCCTGCATGCAGGTAGGCGAGGTGGGGAGCAGCCCAGCGAGGGGGCAAGGAGCTTCCGCAGCGTGGATCCCCCCTGGGCCTCACTCACTAGGGCTCCTGAGGCCTGGGTCACCCTGGCCCACTGAAGGCAGGGCTGGGGCTCACTCTAGGACAAGCAGAGGGCCTGGTCCTGCCATCCCTCAGCAGCCCCGGGTCCCCTACCAGGCCCCCTCCGGCCAGCATCCCTACCCTTAGGGGTCCGTGAAGCCCACAGCTCTCCTGACCAGAGGCCCGAAATCCCACCCACTGTCCTCTGAGACTTCGTCCGACGCCATCTTCTTTGGCCAGGCTCCCGCCCAACACTCGGCATGAGCAGAAAGGGCTACTAGGCGCCAGTGGGGAAACGGAGACCCTGAGGGCAGATGTGATGTCCCCAGTGGGGGCAACACTTACAGGCCTCTGGGATCATCTCTTTTGACCCAGAACAAAACTGGCCCAGGAACGGCCGTACCCCTCAGGCCACTCTGGCCCGGTCCACAGATCCAGGAAGGATTGTGAAAAGGCCCAGGTTTAACGACCAATTTATCTTCAAAGCATAACGGTTTTCTTTAGAATTCACTTTCTCGGGTTGTCCTGTTAGGAAAGGCTTCTACGGGAGCCTTTGATAAACAACCTAGAAAATCTCAGAGCCATCTCCTCCCAGGAAGCCCCCCACCCTTCCCAAGTCTCACGCGCCTGCCCCCCCCCCCCCCCCGCCCCCAGTGCTGCACAGTCACCTTCCCACGACCCGGTTCCACCCTCCCATCCTTGCACAGCCCACCGACAAGGGCCATCCCCAGTCACTGTCCTGCTCATGCTCAAACCTCCACAGTGTGCAAGGGGCTATAGGGGCGGGCTTCACAGAAGGTTCCAGGCCCCGGGGAAGCCTCAACGGGTAGGAATAAAGGGCATCTCCAGCCATCTGCACGGATAGATGTCCGTGGATATCTTGTAGGTACCAATGCAGACACGTGACATTCAAGACTGGGGGCGCCCTCCACCTAACTCCTCGGCACTACGGATCCCTCCTGAACTTGGACACGGGCCCAGGGGAAAGGGGAATCCTCAATGGACTCAGATTCTGCCACTACACAATGGGGGGGCTTTCGGTAGAAATCTGGTTCAATTTTACATGTCTTGTGCTTCTGAGTTTGCATTTGATATTTTTGGAAGAGGAGAAAAGAAACAGGAAAATGTCTTGAAGGCCCCACTGTGCCCAGGAGGGGGCCTGTGTCTCTGTCATGACGTGCCACACCCTCCTGGCCATGGGGTGTCACCCCCCCGACCCGTGCTCCAGCCACATCCCCCGACAGCCCCTCTGTGCCTTCACTGAGACTGAGCCCTGCATCAATAGCACCACGCACTGTTTTTGGCTCATCTCCAAGGCCTGGCTCAATGCCACCTCCTCCAGGAAGCCTTCCCAAGCCCCAGGAACAACCACTTCTACCCCCACCCCCCCTCCCTCCCCCCAGTGTCTGAGCACTTCCCATCACAGCTGGTCCAGGGCCGAAGCGTTTACAAACATCTCACTCAGGTGTCAGGATGCAGCCTCCCCAGGACAGCGGGGCGGAAACAGTCCTCACCCACCCCTGCCCACCCATTTACCTAGTTCTGCCCACCTAAGGAGGCACGCATGCCTTTTTCCATCCTACAGATGAGGAAGCGGAGGCTTGGGGGTGTGAAATAATGAGCCCAGAGTCACCTGGCTAGTAAGGGGGCGGTGCAGGGATTTGAACCCGGGTCTGTCTGAGCACCAGCCCGTGCTTTCCCACGGCTCACATGCTGCCATCTACCCACAACCCAAATCACATGATCTGCCACCCCTCCACGTGCCCAGGGCACCTGCCTCTGGTTCGGCCCACCTTCCCCCATATCGTAGCACTTGAAAACATGCTGCCGGAGACCTGAGCTCCTGCTCCAATTCCCTTTAGCAACTGTCCGATGGAGGGTTTGGGAACAGCCCTTTCTGGGACGGGAACGGTTCTCAAGTAACCTCCGGTGAACCCTCGGAGGCCCCAGGAGCCTGGACACCTTCCCAGCCCAGCGTGACGAGTGACATGAGTAAGCACGGAGCCGGCTCGCCAGTCCGTCTGTCCCGGCCCCTCCAGGCTGCCACCGGCCGGGTATGCCAATGCCTGGAAAGGCGTTGGCAGGTTCCCTCCTGAGGGCTGGCCCAGAGCTCCCTCCCCATCTCCCCTTCCAGGCAGCCTGCCACCCTCTTCCATACCACGTGGGCAGACAAAGCATTTCCAAGGGCGCTCTCTGCGCACAGAGGAGCCAAAGCAAAGGCCGGGTGGGTGGGTGGCCAAGCGGACTGGCACAGAGGCTGGGGGGGGGGGGGGCAGCCGCCCCCCTCCAGGGGCAATGGCTGAGATTCAAGAAGCTGTCCCAACAGCCAGTGGGCCAGTGAGCAACCCGAGCTGGAGGGCAAACCCTCATTAGCGGAAAGGCCCAGAAGCCCTGTGGTCTGCGGGAAGGCTGCTGGCTGACCCCGCCCTCTCCCAGCCCCAGACGTTCCACTGCTTGGTGGCTGTTCTGAATCCCAGGCCACCCGTGATCACGGGGCCCCCCTGCAGGCAGGCGGGCTCTGGAGCTCCTCCACTCCAGGTGGGGCAGCTGGGCAGCTCAGTTTCTTCCCCCGCACAAAGCAGGCAGGAAGGGGTCACAGTGCAAAGCGCCCGTCTTGCAGCCTGGGACACGTTAGGTGTCACGAATCCCTTTTCCTTTCCTGCTTTCCAAACTCATTAAAGAACGCGCCCTGCGGCCCAAGCAGTCAAGCAGTCACATGTTCGGGCCCCCACGAGGACGCCTCCTTCTGGAAGGAGGGGCGGGGAGCACACAGGCCACCTCGCTGCATTTCTGCTCTCCCTAAGCAGAGGGAGCCTGGCCACTCTTTCCGCTGCTGTTCCTTCTCTGCTGCCCAGCAATGACAGTGACTCAGGCAGAAACCCAGGTGGGCCAGGCAGTGACTGGGAGCTGAGTCAGGGGCACTCAGCACTGATGTCTAGCAGCCCCGGAGCCTGGAGCCAGCCGGGCCTGATGCCGCAGACTGGGCCCCTGCTGCAGGGCGGGTGAGCGGACCACAGGCTGTCTACCACGGTCCTGGAGCAAAGCAGGTCCACAGAGGGCCGAGCGGTCTGTCACGGCGCAGGGACAGGCCAGGGGCCACGGGTGGCTCCCACGGCCAGTGAGAAAGGAGCTGTGCAAGCCCCTGCTCTTGCTCCCCCTTTTAGGGTCCCCACGGGACAACAGCAGTCGCCCCATCACTACACCCCTCGGTAAGTCCTGTCCCCTTGCAGTTTGATGGCCTCTCCTTCCCCAGAAGCTCACCGAGCCAGGCCTGGGCCCAGGGACTGAACGCTCCAGGCAGCAGGGGTCAGTGTGCACCAAGGTGGGCAAGGGGAACAGTCTCCGTGACCGTGAGGCTGGATTCCTGTCCTGCGGGTTGTGTTGGTTCCAGGCACTGGCACCCCTCCATTCCCGGCACATCAGTGCAGCCCCCCCTAAGGGCGACATTCCCTAAGGGCGAGGGGCGGCTGCAGCGTCTTCCGGGCGGGTGCCAGGGCGGGGGCGAGGTCAGGGACAAGTCTCTCCGCACACAGGTTCTGGGGTCAACAATTCAGCACATGCAGCCTCAGCCCCGCAGACCCTGGGCGGCCCAGAGCACTCATGAGATGGTCACGTCACCCTTGCTCATTCCGGGTTTGGGTTTCTTGCCTTTTTTTTTTTTTTTTTTTTTTTTTTGGTAATCTCTATGGGGCTCATGGGGCTCGAACTCATGACCCCAAGATCGAGAGTCGCGTGTTCCACCCACCGAGCCAGCCACGCGCCCCTCTCGTTCAGGGTTTGGGAGGATCAGGGCACAGCCCGTGGAGGAGGCGAGGGGGCGCGGGCCTGGAAAGGCGATCAGGAGAAGCATCCTACCATTCAAGGCCAAGTAAGCACTTCCCCGCATCTTACCACCAAGCTCCCTCGCTCGCGGGTCCTTATGCGCAAGCCCCTCCCTCTGTGGTTAGAAACCACCTGCCAGCAACCTCACCCGCACACTCAGGTCAACCCGGCCCCTAATCAGGAGTGGAGGGCACCGACCTGCCCTCCTGATCCCTGGCTGGGCCTTCCTCTGGCTCAGGTTCCAGTGTGACCTTCCTCCTCGTGCCCGGGGCCTGTGCCCAGAGGACGTGGGAGGACGGAATGGCAGGGCCTGGTGTCCCACGGGCATCTGGGCTTTGGCCTCTGGCCCCCAGCGCAGCGGCCGGCCCCCCGCGCCAAGCAGCCTCCCCCTGCCCCCCAGGCCAGTGCCTCTTACCAGGCTTTGGGATGAGTCCTTGAAAAGGCCTGGAAGAGAAACAGAGACAGGGGCATCAGAGCGAGGACCTGGGAGCAGTTCGGAAATGTTTGGGGCCCACCGACACCTACTGCGTTGGAACGGCATTTTAACAAGATGCCCGGGGAGGCGTCACTGGGGCAGGACGCTGACCAGGGGGCGGCCTGGTGACCGGGGCCTCCTGCTAGTCCCGCCCTGGTGGTTCTGTGACCCCTGGGCAAGTCTCTCGTCTCAGGGACCTCCCCTCTGACGTGGGCTGACCGCCCTTCCTGGGGGCCGGGGGGCCAATGAGCGGGTGCTGCGGGCAGGTAGGAGGTGTCGTGAGGGTTATCCCTGCTGCATGGTGGTTGAGTGGGGTTCCCTGCGCCCGGGCCGGCCCTCTGCCACCTTTCTGTCCCCCACTGGGACCCAGGATGGCACCGGAGGGCAGAATGAGGCAGGACCAGATCAAAGGAAAGGCCAAGGGCCCCCACCCGTGCTAGTCTTGCCTCCTCACCCTTCCCCCTGAGCACCTGGTGACCGTGAACTTGATCTTGTCAGCCACTGCAAGAATCCTCTCCAGGTTCTGGGAGCCAAAGGTGCAGGGCTTTCGGAAGGGGATTCCCGGGGGGAGCCCCTCGATGATCACCGAGCCGGGGTTACTCTTGATCCGCTTGTAGGGGACCTGGACCGGGTACTTGATGCCCAGGGCTTCTCCTGTGGAGGAGGGACAGATGTGTCATCAGAAGCTAGAGCAGCGCTGGAAGAGTGTGGCACGGGGGCACGCGGCGGGGGCCTGGGAGTCAGCAGTGGGTCGTGCAGGGGTGCGGTGTGTGTCCTTGAGGGGCTGAGGAGCGGGCAGGGCTCATATGGCTCCAGCCGCTGGGGAGAGGGCAGCGGGTCAGGCTCCTCGGCCTCACCGCCTGAGAAGCTGCAAACCCCTGTCCGGGATGGTATCTGTGGGCGCAGCGGGCCCCTCCCTAGGAGGCCTGGCCCTCGGCCAGCGCCCCCCTCCCCTCCGGGGCCTGCCTCGCGCCGGTTCAGGACCAGCCTGGCCTGAGGGCAGACTGCATTTGGGGGCAAGGGCGCAGCCAGCCCGAGGCCAGCAGGGTTCGGCTCAGACCTGAGACCCTCCGTCTGCGTCTGGGCTTTGACCTTGCTCCCTGCACCAGCCCCCTGCGTGTGCACCCGTGTGAACGTGCTGGGTCTCACGGTGGCCTAGGGGCAGTGCTGGGGCAGCACGGCCACTGCTGAGCCACCCTCCACCGGGGCTTGCCGCCTGCTGTCAGTGGCCGTCCCCGAGGCACAGCATGGCCGGTCCTGTGGCTCCTGTCCACAGCGGCGAGGGCACAGGTGCAGGCCTGGGTGCCGTGAGGCTGACTGGATGGTGTCCACCGTGGAGCCCCTCCTGGGCAGAGGGAAGGAGCACACTGCGGTCCCTCCAAGGGGCTTGTTGTGGTGCAGGATGTCCCTTTCTGAAGACAAAATCTCTGACCGACTCAGCACGAGAAGGAACAGCTGAACCTTCTCTGTGCAGTAAACTAATTTTTATCTCAGGGACACTGGGAATTGCATAACTGGCCACATTTCCCTTTTTGCTCTGGCTCCCGGGAAACTCACAGCCTGATCTGTCATCTGTATCTACCAAGTACAGAATTTCTGTGCCTTCGTATTACCCCTGGCTTTTTGCCAGTGTTCCGGCCTATTTTTGCTTGTCTATTTATTTATGTGCGTATGTATGTATGTATTCTTTTATTTTAAAAAATTTTTTTAATTTTAACATTTATTTATTTTTGACAGACAGAGCATGAGCAGGGGAGGGGCAGAGAGAGAGAGAGAGAGAGAGAGAGAGACACAGACAGACAGAATCCGAAGCCGGTTCCAGGCTCTGAGCTGTCAGCACGGAGCCCAACACGGGGCTTGAACCCACAAACTGTGAGATCAGGACCTGAGCCGAAGTTGGACGCTTAACCGACTGAGCCACCCAGGTGCCCCTGTTCTTGTTTTTTTAATTGAGATCTAATTCCCATACCACAAAAATGACTGGTGTCACTTATGCAATCCAGTGGTTTTTCGAGGAGGTTGTGAAAGTATCAACACACTCTAACTCCAGGACGCGTTCATCACTCCAGGAAGAAACCCTGTACCCAGCAGCAGTCACTTCCCATCCTACTCCCCTGTGCCCTGGCAACGGCTAATCCACTCTATTTTGATAGGTTTCCCGTCTTTTTGATTCTTTATCCTGACTTGGTTGCTGACTATTTTATATGGCAGGTATTGCTAAGCGATCTTCTTTTTTTTTTTTAAGTTTATTTATTTTGAGAGAGAGAGGGAGAACACACGCGTGTGTGCACGCGAGGAGAGGGGCAGAGCGGGGGGGGGGGGTGGGGTGGGGAGAGAGAGGGAGAATCCCAGGCAGGCTCCACACCGTCAGTGCAGAGCCCGACTCGGGGCTTGAACTCACGATCCGTGAGATCATGACCTGAGCCAAAACCAAGAGTCAGATGCTTAACCAACCGAGCCACCCAGGCGCCCTGCTAAGAGATCATTTTGGCAATGAAAAATAACTGGGCCAGAAAGGAAAGTGTATACCCATGACCCGTAAACAGGAACACTGCTGTCTCCACTTCTCACCTCCAAAACGGCTCTTGTTCCAATGACCCGTGGCCTGCAGGGTGCCTGCTTTCTCTTGGTCAAGTTTGGCACAGGTGACCGCGCTCCCCTCCCTGAAGCCTCCTCCTCGATGTCCGTGACCCCATACTTTCCTGGTTTCTCACCTTTCTGGTCACTCTGCCACTGCCTGGACCTGACCTCTGCATACCAGGGCCCCTCGGCCTCTGGTCTGGCTACTCTTTCTTGTTCCTCTACCCAATGGCCTAATTTTTACATCCAATCCAGACCGTTCTCCTGAACAGCGGACTGGATCTCCACTTGCCTACGGCTCATCTCTGCTCAGCCCTCAAACTCAACACATCCAAGTTGGAACCCATCACCTCCCCTTCAAGCTGTCCCCTCTTGGTGAGGGTGCTGCCCCTTCTCTCTACTCCACCCCACCTCCCTTTTGTCACAGTGACAGGCCCAGTAACCCAGTGAGCACGTGGCATTTCCCTGCCGCAGGGATTGGGTGAGGGATGGACATGGGACTCAACGGAGGCCAATGAGAAGCAAGGGGAGGGCTCAGGGAATTCTAGGAAAGAAACCCCTCCCTCTCTGGAGAAATGCTGCGGAAAAGCCAGTTCCCACCCCCTTCCGCAAGGCACAGGTGGGATGTCTCAACCTGCTGTGGCCATTTTGCCAGCAAGTGGGAAGCCAGCCTGGGACGATACCAACATGGTGGAAAGACACCAAGGACATCTCTGAACTGCTGGATCCAGTTGGTCCTGAAGGCCGCCCCACTGCTGGATTTCCCATGCTATGAGCTATGGCTGATTATACTGTCCAAAGACGGCCGCCCCAATATTTCTCCCATCCCACGTGCTCCTCTTAACGTCACATCGACACTCCCCCACAGAGAACTGGGGCCTGTGTCCCCTCCCCTTGAACCTGGGCTTGGTGGGGACTTTGTAATGACCTCGACCAATAGAGCATGGCAGAGGTGACGAAGCACAACCTCTGAGGCTGGGCCACAAAAGGCAACAGCTTCCACCCGGCCGGCAAATCCAGCTGTCCTGGAGACGCTATGCTGGGGAGCCCACGCGGAGGGACGGCGTGGAAATGTGGAGAGATGAGAAAGAGCCAGTGGCCGCTATTTTAGGCTGCTCGGTTCGGGGCGATCTGCTCTGTGGTCATAGTAACCGGATCAGGAGCCGATGTACACCCCTGATGGCTGAAGCCAGTGCGACTTTGTTTTTGTTACTCGAGACTATACAGCATCTTAACTGCACTGGCCTGTTTTCTCCAAGCCAGGACTCAAACCGGACGCCTGCCTTTCCCTCCCTGCTCGCCCACTGATCCTACTTCTGAAGCTCACCTTGGTCCCATCCGCTTTCCTCCGGCATCCCGGCCAGGGCCACCCAGGCCGCCGTCACTCCGGCTCCACCCTCCGAGCTGGCCTCCCCACCCCGCCCTCTTGCCCCCATTCACCTTTCTCACGGGGAGCCAGGAAGATGCTTTAAAGCCACAAAGTGGCAGGGCGCCTGGGTGGCTCAGTCGGGTGAGAGCCCGACTTCGACTCAGGTCATGATCTCACGGTACGTGAGTTCGAGCCCCGCGTCGGGCCCTGTGCTGACAGCTCAGGGCCCGGAGCCTGCTTCGGATTCTGGGTCTCCCTCTCTCTCGGCCCTTGCCCTGCTCGTGCTCTGTTTCTCTCAAAAATAAACATTAAAAAAAAAAAAAACAAACCACAAAAACTACCAAGTGGCTTGTGTCACTTCAGTCCTCACCATACAATACAAAACCAAGAACACGGTTGCCTCTAAAGGCCCTAGGTGATGGGGTGTCTGTGTTCCGGCCACCTCTACAGGGTCCCTCTCCTGTAGCTCTACTCCCCCAATTCAGCTTTCTGCCCCTTCCTAGGATAAGCCTCAGGGCCTTTGCACGTGCTATGACCTCAGCTGGACTGCCCTTCCTGCATACTCTGGTAGTAACTCTGTACCCACCCCTTCAGTTCTTTCTTTAAAGAGGCCTCCCTGGCTCCCAATTGAAGGTAAGTACCCAAGTTATTCTCTCTTGAGCAGCCTGCTCTTTTCCTGCAAAATTGTGGAACAGAGTCTCATTGTTATTAGATCCTGTGTGTAGTTTTTCTTTTTTTTTTTATGTTTGTTTATTTTTGAGACAGGAGGAGGGGCAGAGAGAGAGGGAGACACAGAATCGGAAGCAGGCTCCAGGCTCTGAGCTGTCAGCACGGAGTCCCAATGCGGGGCTCACACCCAGGGACCGTGAGATCGTGACCTGAGCTGAAGAAGGATGCCTAACTGACTGAGCCACCCAGGCGCCCCTATAGTTGTTTGTTTTTTTTTTTTAATGTGTATTTATTGAGAGAGAGAGAGAGAGAGAGAGAGAATCCCAAGCAGGTTCCACGCTGTTAGCACAGAGCCTGACATGAAGCTCAAAGTCAAGAATCATGGAGACCGTGACCTGAGCTGAAACCAAGAGTCGGATGCTTAACCGACTGAGCCGCCTAGACACCCCTGTGTGTAGTTCTCGAATTACAAGCCCAGTCTTGACCCCGCTGGTCTACAGCGCCCAAGAGGGCAGGGCCTCTGTTTTCTTCGCTACTGTATCCCCAGCGTCTGGCACATAGTAAGTGCTCAAGAAATGCCTGTGAGCGAGCGAATGGTTTCCCCAGAAATGACCACGGCTACCAGCAGGAAGCGTCTGCCTCTCTTCCCGCGGCAGCCAGGCTGCCCTTCCGCCTGGGTACCCCGGGGCTCACCGTATTTCTTATTGAACAGGTCCTGGACTTGCTCCCGCAGCGTGTTGGCGATGTCGATGCGCGAGAGTCGAGCGTCGTAGTTTTCTGCAAAGTGAAAAACAATTATGGATTTGAGGTTGTCCAATTAAAAGGCACTTGGGGACTTTTTAAGGAACAGGATTGCCTAATTACGGGGAACTCCTCCCCAGAGCGGGCCCCTCAGAGTCCTTCAGAACTAACATCTAGACGGAGATGTAGGTTTTTCCGGAAGGACGCACACTGTTGTGACAACAGCAATGAGTGGGAAATTTAGTTAATTGTTGACATTTGAAAACCACTAAACCAGTAAATGAGCCTGAGAGGTGAGAGACGGCCCGAGGAAGAGCAGGCTAGGAGCAGGGGTTCGGTGGGGAGGGCCACCCCGGGTCCCTCTCTCACCCGGGGGGGGGCGGGGTATCTGCTAGGGAGCCCATGTGCCAGCCCATGCCATGGGGGCCCCAGACAGGCCCCTGACCTCGAGAGACTGCAGCCTGGCACAGCCCGGGGAGAGAGACAGGGAAGGAGGGAGTGGACCTCTGGGCGGTCGAGTGGTGGGGGGGGGGGGGTTACGGGGAGGACCCCCGTCCTCTGTGAGGCGGGGTACAAGGAGTCACGGGTGGGGTGGGGGTCGTGAGCGCCCCTCACTGTGGCCAAGTTCTGGCTGCCCGGGAGGGAGAGAGAGAGACAGGGCAGTGAGCAGCCGTCCCCCTGGGATTGGGGTCCTATCTCTGGGCCCCCCACTCCCTGGGCTGGTCTCGCTGACCTCACTCTCTCCTCAGAGCCGCAGGGACCACCTAGGGGCCACCCGGGGAACAGCCCACCCTCGGGGACTCACGGCCACACCCCGGAGCTGTCCCAACTCGGCACGTGGACTTCCTGCTTCTGGCTCTCCCCTGCATTTGCTCAAGCTTCTCCCGCCTTCCATCCATCTTCCGCCCCACTCACTGTCCCTCACCCCTTCGTGGCCCAGCCACGGTTCTCCTTGTCCATAGAACCCCCTTGCACTTGGGGACCTCGCCCTTTTTTGGCTTCAGGCATCGAGCACAGCTGACCGCCTCCCCAGAGGGGACAGTGGGTGCGCTCCTGCACCCTGCCACCCCCCTGCACTCTTAGGGAGACTCTTCTTCCCGCCCCACCTGCCAGCCAGCCTCACTCAGACCCCCAGGCTGTGACGGTGGGGGCCAGCCCCTCCCACCCGCAGCCTGGCCCTCCAAACCCAAGCCAGGTCAAGGTCATGGCACTGGGACAGCGGACCCCATCCTGAGCTGCAACCTTACCTTGAAAACCCTGTCTCTTCAGGCTCTCGTCCACAAGAGGGTCCCCGGAATCCCTCTCTGGGGGCGGGGAAGGGGGAGGAGAGAAGCCAGGGTGAACAGCCAGCTCCTGGGACCCGGGGACAGGGGCAGTATCTCTAGGGGGGATCCCGGTGGAGAGGGCAGTGGGGGACGCCAGGGGAGGCGGGACCAGGAGAGAGGAAGAGGGAGAAGGGATGGTGGCAGAGACCTGGGACCCCTCCCACGCCCGGCGGGCGCCTCAGCCCGCGTCCCTGAACGGGGTACCTTGGCTGTCCGCGATGGGCTCTTTGACTCCCTCGGTGAGCAGCTCGGGTCTGGAAAACACGACAGCAGGGCAATCGCTGAGGCCCCTCCGGGCCTTCCTGGTAGAGCTTCAGTCTGCACCCCTGGGCCTCAGCTTACCCAGCTGTGCAACAGGCCCTCCCAGCCCTGGACAGCCCAGGTGTGGGGTCCCCGTCCTTCGCCCTTGTCCTGCCGACCCACGTGTGGTACTGGGGGGGCTGTGCTGGGCTCTGAGGGAGGCCAGCCTGACCCCAACCCATCGTCACTCAGTTCTGTGATGCTTCCCCACGGGGCCAGTTTGAAGTGCAGAAGCAGGCGGCAAGATCTCAGAGCGACAGGGTAGGTCCCGGGTCTCCGGCTGACACCCGAGAGCTGCTGGGTCACTTGCAGTCGGGGCCTCGGGGACCGACCCCAGCTCTGCACTAATACCTGTATCTCCAGACCCCACAGAGACCCCCCCAGATGTCATGGCGCGCTCTCTCAACCCCCTTGAGGCGGGCACTGTTTCCATCACTCCATTCACAGGATGCGGAGACTGAGCAACGTGCCCAGGACCACACAGTGGGATCGGGCAGGGCTCAGAAAAGGCCCCCGCCCCCCCCCGCCACACACAGCCGAGACACCTCCCCACCAGGGCCTCTGCTGTCTCGTCTGACACAGCGGGAGCCCCGCTCGGCTCCTGACTCTTGCAGGTGACAGTGGGGACGTCATTTCACTTTCTGGGACTCTGTTTCCCCATAAGAAGAAGGGGAAGAGGTAGTGGTGGAGAAGTTTCTAAATGCAGCCTGAGGCCTCTTCTGGCCCCTGAGGCTGGGCTCCAAGGCAGGGCCGTGTGTCCTCCTCCCTCAGGCCCTGTGAGCCCAGCTTGGGGCACGTGCCCACGTGCCCGCTGCCAGGAAAGGCAGCAAATCCTCATCCACTGGCCGCCTGACCTGCGGTGGGGGTGCCCTGAGTCTGGCCTTTGGTCTCCCTTCTAGGCAGGGTCTCCTCTGGGCCACTTCTTGGTTACCCCGGTGACGGAGAGCTCATTACCTCTCCCAGCAGCCTCACCCACAGACCCATACTCACACTGAACCCTGGTCCAGCACCCCACCCCCACGACACCCGTCAGGAGATTCGAAGGAGTAGTTTTCCACTACCCGTCCCACTCCATCGTCCCCCCTGGCCCGTCAGCCCTCCTCCAGCCAGCCTGACCTCCCCAACATCCTCAGCCTGCCACAGACTCCAGGACAGGCCTGCTCTAGCTGGACAAGTCTGCATTACAAACAGGGCATTGAGAATCCGTGCTATATGATAAAGACTTTGGTCTCTGTCTCTGGTTCCTGGGAGGTAAACGCTCATCTTTGGTTATTTCTCGAGTGACGGGAGCGTCTTCGTTATTATTATTCCTGGTTGGGACCCTGGGATCACACCGAAGTTTACGCTAGGGAGATGATGTGGGATTCTGGAAGACTGACCACGTCAGAGGGCTGAGGCTCTGAGCCACCTGCTATCAGCCCACCCTCCTAATTTCTACAGACTGAGCTCAGTCACATGGCCAATGACCCGATCGAGCACGCCTATGGAAAGAATCCCAATGATAATCATGGACACTGAACTCGGGGCTGGAGGGTGACATATGCCCTGATAACATGGGGACCTCGCCTTTTGTGAGTGCCATTTGGCTGGTCCTGGTCAGTACCCTTTATATAAAATGGTAATTGTAATACAGGACGTTCCCGAGGTCTGGGAGTTGTTCTAGCTAGTTACTGAACTTGCAGGGAGTTGTGGGAAGCCTCAGATTTAGGACCAGATGCTCAGAAGTGTAGGTGGCCTAGGGACCCCCAAACTTGCAGCTGGGGTCTGAAGTGGGCGTGGTCTTGTTGGAGACCGTGCCCTGAACCTGTGGCATCTGCTAATGCCCTGTGGTCAGGATCAGATCTCACTGTGGCGTTACATCAGCCAGAGCCCTCCGCCACAACTCCCGGGTAGCAATTTCCTATCCGTGTGAACCCACCCAAGATTTTAAGTTTCCAAAAGGTTTCTAAACTTTGGAGAATTTGATGAAAGCAAGGGGTCCTCTCCCCACAAGAATGCACCAAAGAATATGAACATCTGGCTTACAAGCTCAAGGATCGGGGTGTAAAGAATGCTTTCCGATCAAAAGTTTAGAAAGTTTAATCTGATTTGTGCCAGTTGTAATGACTGGTAGAGGTTGTCCAATGTATGTCCTCCACAAGGATGTGGAGGTCAGGTACAGGCAGAAAGTGTGTCGGTCAATTACTGACATCTCCTGCAGGTGATGACTTCTCATATATACAAATGTGCAGTTGACCCTTGACGGACATGTGTTTGAACTGTGTGGGTCCACTCACATACAGATTTTTTTCCAAAAAATACAGTTCAGTACTGTAAATGCTCTTCTCTTCTGTACATTTTCTAAGTTTTTAGAAAAATTTGGGGTGCTTAGTTTTGAAAGAGAGAGAAAGAGAGAGACAGAGACAGAGCACAAGTGGGGGAGGGGTAGAGAGAGAGGGAGACACAGAATCCGAAGCTCCAGGCTCTGGGCTGTCAGCACAGAGCCCAATGCGGGGTTCGAACCCACGAACCTTGAGATCATGACCTGAGCCGAAGTCAGACGCTCAACCGACTGAGCCATCCAGGCACCCCTCTGTTTATAAATTTTTTAAGATGTTTATTTATTTTTGAGAGAGAGTGCACGTGCATGTGGGGAAGGGGCAGAGAGAGAGCGGACAGAGGATCTGAAGTGGGCTTTGTGCTGACAGCCCGACTCGGGGCTTGAGCTCCTGGACCGCGAGATCATGACCTGAGCCAAAGTCAGGATGCTTAACCGAATGAGCCACCCAGGCACCCCACTTCTTTACATTTTCTGAACATTTTCTTTTTTTCTAGCTTACTTTGTTGTAAAAATATGGTATATAATACATACAACATACAAATTCGTGTTAACTAGCTGTTTATGTTATTGGTAAGGCTTCCGGGTCAACAGTGGGTTGTTAGTAGTTACTTTTTTTTTTTCCTATTCTTTTTTTATGCCTGATTATAGTTGACATACAATGTTACATTAGTTTCAGAGGTAAGTAGTTAAGTTTTTGGGGAGTCAAAAGTGACACGTGAATTTTCAACTGCATGGGGACTGGGGGGTGTCAGGACTCCTAACCTCCATTTTTTTTAAATGTTTATTTATTTTGAGAGAGAGTGCATGAACACATGCTTACATGTGTGTGCATGCACACGAGCAGGGGAGGGGAAGGGAGAGAGGGAGAGAGAGAATCCGAAGCAGGCTCTGCACTCTCAGCAGAGAGCCCTACATGGGGCTCAATCTCATGGACTATGAGGTCCTGACCAAGAGTTGGACACTTAACCGACTGAGCCACCCAGACACCCCTCTAATCCCTGTACTGTTCAAAGGTCAACTTTATATTTTTATGGGCTGAACTGTATCTCCCCCAAATTTCATATATTGAAGCCCGGACCCCCCCGTACCTTGGGATGTGACTGTATTTGAAGCCAGTGTCTTTTAAAAGGTGGTTAAATTTACATGAGGACGTCGGGCGGACCCTCATCCCCTGACTGGTGCCCTTATAAGAAGAAGGAATTAGGTCACATGGAAAGAGCCACCTGGGATGTATGTACATAGAGAAAAGGCCATATGAAGGCACAGTGAAGAGGTGACCACCTGCAAGCCAGAGAAAGAGGCCCCCAGAGAAACGCGACCTGCCACACCTTGATCTTGGACTTCCGGTCTCCAGAGCCAGGGGAGATAAATGTCTGTTACACTTTGTTACTGCCGGCCCAGCACGCTAATATGCATATCTACATACATATCCATGAGGTACATACATATTCCTTATTCGGATGGAATGCATATACCATAACATTCATCTTTAAAGTACACCAATCTCAGGCGCCTGGGTGGTGTTGGTTAAGCGTCCGACTTCGGCTCAGGTCATGATCTCACGGTTCGTGAGTTCGAGCCCCGCGTTGGAGTTGGAGCCTGCTTCCGATTCTGTGTCTCCCTCTCTCTCTGACCCTCCCCTGCTCACACTCTCTCTCTCTTTCTCAAAAATAAATAAACATTAAAAAAAAAATTTAAAGTATACCAATCTGTGGTTTTCAGCACATTCACAAAGTTGTTTATACAGCTGTCCTTCTACCTAATTCTAGAACATTTACATCGCCCCCCAACGCACCCTTTCCTAAAGTAAGATTAAAATGAGAGGTGGCTCTTTCTCACTTAATACTCCCAACAGTAGTTTTGCTGAGTTTTAAAATGAGAAATAACAAAGTAAGTACACTAAGGGCTCAGTCTCTTAAAATTACCCAGCAAAGCCTTTGCTCCACAGCCCCAAATGCCCGGCAAAAGCCATCGCTCTCTCCCACTTGAGCCATTTTCTTTGCTTGGCTTGCAGAAAACTGTAATCAGTTAAACTTACTTTTTATTTTCTTTTACTTTACTTTACTTTATTTTATTTTACTTTATTTTATCTTACTTTATTTTATCTTACTTTACTTTCTTTTACTTTACTTTACTTTACTTTACTTTATCTTACTTTACTTTATCTTACTTTACTTTATCTTACTTTACTTTATCTTACTTTACTTTATCTTACTTTATTTTATCTTACTTTATTTTCTTTTACTTTATTTTCTTTTACTTTATTTTCTTTTACTTTATTTTCTTTTACTTTATTTTATACTTTACTTTATTTTACTTTATTTTATTTTACTTTATTTTATTTTACTTTATTTTATTTTACTTTATTTTACTTTATTTTATTTTATTTTATTTTATTTTACTTTATTTTATTTTATTTTACTTTATTTTATTTTATTTATTTTGAGAGAGTGGGCGAGTGCAGGGGAGGGGCAGAGAAAGAGAGAGAATCCCAAGCAGGCTCCACATGGTCACTACAGAGCCGGATGCGGGGCTCAAACTCACGAACCGCGAGATCATGACCTGAACTGCAATTAAGAGTCGGACGCTTAACCGAATGAGCCACCCAGGCGCCCCTAAACTTACTTTTCAAAACTGATATATTTTAAAAGACGTGAAATCCTTATCCAGGCAACCACATGAATTTCTCTCAAAAGCTAAGAGAAAGAAGTCAACTCAAAAGGCTGAGCACTGGACCGCTGCATTTGAAGGACATTCTGGAAAAGGCAAAATGATGACAGAAGGTCGATCGGCAGTTGCCAGGGGCTCTAGGGTGGCCAACAAAGGGGACACGGGAAATTTTGGGGGTGACAGGACTGTTCTGTATCCTGATTACAGTGGCGGTTATACGACTGTAAGAGCTTGTCAGAGTTCAAAGAGGGTACACTTACAAAGGGCGAGGGGCGCCTGGGTGGCTCAGTCGGTTGAGCCTCCGACTCTTGATTTCCGCTCAGGTTACGACCTCTCAGTTCATGAGTTCGAGCTCCACAACGGGCTCCACCTGGCAGCACACGGCCTGCTTGGGGTTCTCTTCTCTCTCTCAGCCCCTCCCCTAAGTCTTTCTCTCTCTCAAGGTAAATAAACAACTTTAAAAAAAAAAAAGGTGAATTTTGCTGAATATGAATTAAACTCTAACACACCTGCTGCTAGAAAAAAAACAAACCCATCTTGATCGAGTACTTACAGTGCACCAGGCCCTTGGCTGAGCCTCGACCTCCAGACTGCCGCTCTGGGAAGCGTATGGTGCTTCCCATTGGACACCCCGAGCAGCTTGCCCAAGGTCATGGGCAGTAACAGGAGGTGCAGACTCAGCCCCAGGAGACCGAGTGTCACCAGGCTCATCGGCCTCCCTTTCTAAGTATAAAGGGGCACAAAAAACTGCTCGTGAGCACAGGAGAAAGGCTGTCCCTGCACTAAACATCGACCCAGGTCAGCTTACTGAGGAGGCGCTCCTGACTTGGCTCCTACCTCCGAGGCTTTCAGGTTCTCGACTTGGAGGGAGGGACGGGGCAGGCAGCCCCCATGTGTCCCTTCCCTCCTGAAAGTGGACATTCAGGACATTTGGGTCCCAATGCCCTGTCCCCACCCTGACGTCTGCCCTGCCCAGGGGGTGAGTTTTGGGTATCCATCCACCAGAAGCCCCCCCCCCCCCGGGGGGGGGGGGGCGCGGGGGGGGGGGGGGTGACTCCGGACGGCAGCCTCCACCCCTTCCATCTCAGAGAATGGATTACCGCCCCCCCAGGGGATCAGCCTTGACGGAGTCATTCGGGCCCCCCTCTCTCTCCCACCCCACGGCCAACATGTCAGCAAATCCCGACAGCCCATCTTCAGAATGCTGCCTGAACCTAACTTCTCACCAAGCTCCCACCCGGTCCATGGGGCCAGAGGAAAGCCTCCTCGCCGGTCCCTGCTGCTGCCCCTGCCCACAATCCTCAGGTCACCCTCCACCTCATTAAAAAAAAAAAAAAAAAAAGACCAGATCATGTCATATTCTCCTCCGAATCTTCCAGTGAGTTCTCATTAAATGTAAAGTAAAATCCGAACTCTTGAAGCCTGTCCGAGACCCTGCATGATCCAGCCCCTGCTCCCTCCCAGGCTTTACCACTCTTTTCTCCCTCAGTCTGCCTAGTCACACCAGCACCTCACTAGTCTTCAAACATGTGAATGTGCCCCTGCCTCAGGGCCTTTGCACCTGCCACTCCCTCTGCCTGAACACCCTTTCGCCAGATATCAACATGCCTTGCTTCCTTAAATAGGTTCCTCCTGCCCTTCTCTGCCCCCTGACCCTGTGTCATAGCATTTGCCTTTGCCTGACATTATATGGTAGTTTTAGTCAATGAGACTGGCCAACTCAAGGGTAGAACTCAGCATTTGCTGCTTCTCACAACCTGCACACAGCTTGCACTCAAGATGTACTTGTTGAAGGAAGGCACCACATGTCCATTATTTGGGTCCCTCGGAGCACCCCCTTCCTTGTTCCTCCTGGTGCAAACCAGGCCCCGTGGGAGGGCGCCCGGCTCCACACCCCGTCACCCGCCTGCCACTCTAGGCACAAAGGCTGCCATGAATCTCCCAATTTGGGGGGCCATCTACTCCCCCAGGGAGGGGGGACAAACCCTTAACACTCTCCTCTTTCTTGCCACTTTCAACCAAACCAAGCCTAAATTTACATGATGTAACAGTAGCAACAAACAGGTCACCCCAGACACCCCTCCCCGCCTTAATTCAGTAGCTACCTCCACCTTTTCCTCACGGATTTTATATCTGAGCTGGGCACACAGGCTGGATCCCCTGGCGCTCCGCTGGGCCCTCGAAGGCAAAAGCAAGGGTGCCTGGGCGGTTATCTCACGGCTTTGTGGGTTCAAGCCCCGTGCTGGGCTCCGCACTGACAGTGCAGAGACTGATTGGGATTCTCTCCCTCCCTCTCTCCCCATCCTCCCCACTGGCTCTCTCTGTCTCTCTCAAAATGAACTTTAAAAAAAAAAAAAAAGAAGACAAAAATGAGACGATTTTTTCCCCCCACGATTTGGTGCTTCTCCCAGGCGCCGGGCAAGCCTGGAGGGCCCCCCCGTGGACGCGGCCAGCCCTTACCTCTTGATGACAAACTGGATGCTGTTGCTGGCTTCCAGGATCTTCCGGAGCTTGGCGATCCCGAAGCAGTTGGGCCTGCGGAGGGAGATGCCTTCAGGCAGCCCCACCACAAACAGCTCCTCCGGGTACATCAGGAACTTGGAGTAGGGCACCTTGACGGGCTCCGAGATGCCAATGGCCTTGGCTGCGGAGACATGGCTGCTGTAGGGCCACCCAGGGCTACGGGGGCTATGAGCCTCCGCTCTAGCCTCCCGCGTCTGTGCGGGGTGTGTGCGTGCATGCGTGCATGCATGTGCAGGTGCGAGGGCTCTCGAGAGTCAGGTGTTAGTTGACCCCCCCAACCCTCCTGAGAGATGGATACTGTTACCCCCAGTCTGCAGGTAAGAGACCGGGAGCTCAGAGGGGACATGATTCAGTGGCAGAGCCCCAGGGCTGGGGGGTGTGAACCCGAGTCAGTGGGACCCCCAAACCCACACATAGTCAGTGCCCTCATGCACTGAAACCACTGATGGCTGGTGACACCTGGCATTGGCTCCATCCAAGCCCCCTATCCCCTGTGCTGCTGGTATGGCCTTCCGGAGCCCCCCTCCCACCAGAAATAACCCCCAAACTCTGTGTGGCCCAGCACCGCAGCTTAGGAATGGGATAGGTTGGAGACCCAGGCCAGCCACTCACTGCCACTCACGCTCAGACAAGCCGAATCATCTCCCTAGGCCTTATTTTTCCTCATCCGTAAAATGGGTATGAGGACGCAAGGGTTTTGCGGGACGGGAGAGCTCATGTGAAACCCCTAGCCAGTGCCCGGCAAACCACTGGGGCCTAACAAAAGAATAGCCTCCTCTCCCCTCCCATACCCTCTTTCCTGGACTCCCAAGTAGGAAAGTCCTTGCTATATAAGAGTCCTCCTGAGGACCCTGGATGAGGGTGTCTGTGAGAACAGAAGAGCGGTCACTGCAGTGAACAGAATGGGCTCTCTAATGTGCGGCTGAGGCAGACCGAGGGAGCGTGTGGATGAAGAAGGCTGGGGGACGCGTTTAGGGGGGGAGGGCAATGCCTCAGTTTCCCTGGGTGTCCCCATCTCCTTCCCAGTGCGCCCCAGCACCCCCCCCCCCCGCCCCTCCCTCCCTTGCCCCTGTGCAGGGAGCAGCGGGGCCCAGAGTCCCTCTGAAAACAGGGTGGCTGGAAGGAGGGCCGGCCACCCTGGGCCTGTCCAGCTCCTTGCTCACCGTATCGCGTGTTGAAGAGCAGTTCCACCTGCTTCCGCAGGGGCCGGATCACGTCACCGTGGCTGTCTGGAAGGCAAAAGGCAGCCTGTTGGGCCTCCCCAGGGGCAGCAGGACCCCGCTCCTCAGCTCATGTCCCAGCTCTGCCAGCACCAAGAATGACCCCGCATTGGGACCTTGGAAGGGGGGGGAAGGCCGGGTGGCGGCGGCAGGTAACCTCTTTCCCCAGAAATGGCACCCCCAGACTGGTCCGCAGGGTTCCCAAACTCAAACGTCTGCTCTTAAAATCGGGTCTAAGGTACCACCAGGGCTGAATGGTGATTTGGAAGATTTTGGCAATTTTGCAGCCGAAGAATGACCAGAGACCTTTCTAAGGGTGTGTCTGTCACTCTAGACCAGCTCGGGAAGTGACTTAGCTAGTGGGGGAATGGTAAGCCTGTAAATTGAGTATGCCGCCACCAGGTGGCAGTGGAGTTTTCTATCCCTGCCCCTGGTCAGGCTGGGTTTGGGGAAATGACCATTCTCTCCTCTCACAGCCACTCATTCCATTCCAGGGGCAGAAACCCCCAAGAGGAAACACACACATCCCCGCTTTGATCTCTCTTCCTGCACACTACTCTCACTCAACAGGAAGGGAATGCGCAGTGTTCCTGAGAATGAGCCGGTCTGTTGGACACAAAGCCAATTTTATGCTTTCCGGCCTCCATTCTACTTGCTCAGTCTCCAGACTTAAAACCTTTGTGAAAGAAGCAGGGTGTGTATAAAAACAAAGAGGATGCTCTGCATTTCGCGCACCACAAAGAGCTGCTTGTACCTCTGACCAGGTGCCTCCTAGTTCTGGAAGACACATCTGTAAACTCCTCCCACCTTTAGGAAGCCCACAGGACCCTCACCTCCAACGGCGTGTTGGAGACAATGGGGAGAGGAAGGGCGGGGGAGGCGAGGAGAGGTGGGGTGTGACGGGGGAGGTGGACAGAGCCTCACCTTCTGTGGGCCTCTCCTCAGGCCGGGGGTCCTCGCTGGGGCCTTTCTCTGAAAGAGAGCAGAGGGTGCCAGGAAGCCACGTGCATCATCTGCTGGGCCCTGTGCTGCAAAAGTCAGGCCGGACAAGTGGGGGGCGTAGAGCACAGCATGGCAACTCCCCCGGTGGGGTTGGGGACCCTCACCCTGCACAGGGACTAAACTTGCCCTCCTTGTGAAGGCACAAGGAGGGCACGTTCAGAGACCAGGTGTCGGAGCACATTTGGTACCTCTGGGGACCAGACCCGAGTCAGTCCGTTCTTTCCACGTGCTGGGTTCTGTTCTAGGCACTGAGGACACACGGGAACAAAAGAAACCCTGTCCTGCTGTGACGCCAGATAGAACATGTAATGCCAGTCAGCAGTGATGCCGTAGGAAAAGCAGTTGGATGAGGGGACGGGGGGGAGGGCGAGTGGGGAGCGTGGACCTATCCTGGGTCAGGTGGTCCAGGGGGCTCTCTGATGAGATGGCACTGACCTTGGCCTAAGCTCCCAGCTCAGACCCAGCCTCGTCCCCAGGAAGCGAGGACATGGTGAGTGAGCAACTCGAAAGGTCCCTCGCCCCGCCCCCCGGGGGGGGGGGCTGCTGGGGCGCGGGGGGCAGGCACACCGCGGGGCCTCCCTGAGCAGCGGCCCATTATTGCCAGGGTTTGGAGGAAGGAAGGCATCGGGGATTTTCAACGCTTGAAACAACCGGAAGGAGGCTATCATCTGGGAAGCCCGCTGGCACTTTGGGCGGCCAGGTGCTTTCACACGCGGGACTGACCCTTCACGACGTGCAGCGGAGCTGGAAAGCGGTGGAACAGGTGGACCCCAGGCCTGCCACACTCCCGGCCGGTGCCCATCTGCTCCCCCGCCAGCTCCTGCAGGGAGCACTTGGGGACAGAGGGATACAGGGCGCTGTCCCCGGTCCCAGACAGGATCGTGAGCTGGAAGGAAAGGGGCTGATCCTGGGGAGAGCTGCCAAGAGTCAAAATTCCCTCAGGATGGAGGGAAAGTGAGCCTGCGTCTGGGATCACTGGACAAACCCAAAATTTGGGGCTCAGCTCCGAAGGGGCTGGAAGGTTCTGGAGGGTTTCACCTATGCTCAGCTGACTTGAAAAGGTAGAGGGCCAGCCCTGGGCACCCCGTGGGCGGCAGGTGCTGGGCCCTCCTGACTCTGCACGAAGGATTTACTCTGGCTGCAGTGACAACCCCAGCAAGCTGTGGTCCAGCACAACAAACCGCCTGGAAACGGCTCTCGACCAAGAACATAGGGCGATTTAGAGGATCACTATCCCAGCTCCCTCCTCACTGGGCTGCCTAACTCCAACGCGTGCTTTACGTGGCTCTCTGGTCCCGTGGCTCAGCAGTCCGCAGCAGTAACGGGCCTCGTAACACTTCCTGCCTCCCACCCCACGCCAGCACGCCTGGATCTCCTCCCAAATAGACACATGCAAGCAAAGCCTTATCTCAGGGTCAGCTTCTGGAAGGTCCTGCGCATAAACTGCATTTGTGCCATTTCTAGAGGAAGAGGGGGGCGGACAGGGAGAGAGGAGTGTGGTGGGACCGGCAGGGCCACCAGGGGATTTCCCTGGGCAGGGACCTGTGACAAGAGGAGCCAGGTAACTATCAGTCCCAGGTGAAGGGAACCGCCCAAGCGTGAATCTGGAGCACCAATTAAGGTTACGAGGTGGTCCAGAGGGACACGAAGCCAGAGGGAGACCTGGCCAGGGAGTCCATCCCTGCTGTGAGCTGTCCATGTGCCGTCTTTCCGGCAGGATCAACAATCTGGAGAGCTGATAGGGATAGGACCAGCCCCAGCTCCCCACCGAATTCAGGCATCTTCAGCCCCACTATGGAGGAAGGAAGGAAACTGGGGGGCGCCTGGAGGGCTCAGTCGGTTAAGCATCCGACTTTGGCTCAGGTCATGATCTCACGGTTCGTGGGTTCGAGCCCCAAATCAGGCTCTGTGCTGACAGCTTGGAGCCTGGAGCCTCCTTCAGATTCTGTGTCTCCCTCCCCAGCTTGTGCTCACTCTCTCTCTCTCGCTCTCTCAAAATAAATAAATAAGCATTGGAAAAAAAAAAAAAAAAAAAGGAAGGAAACTGAGCTGGGTCGACTCCTAGGGGCTCTGACCCACGTGCGTTGGGGTTCCAAATACCAAACTTGGGGAACTTGCCAGACTCTCCACCCAGACGTTGGAGGCTGGGCTATTTACCCTGAACGAGCCCACTCACGTGCTCACCGCTCCCCCGTTTTCAACTGTGAATAACCAGAGATACCCTCAAGAAATGATCAACGACACGCAAATACCATGGTGCCGTAGAGAGACGGCCAAAGCACCAGCTTGTGCAAAAGAGTAGCGGCATCCATTAGCACTTAGCAATGTGCAGAAAGAAAAGACACATGAAGTATGGATGCTAAACTAATAGCTGCCCAAGGAGGGGGCAATGCAGCTTTCCCTGCACGGTTCTATAGCATTTATTTTACAATGCACACATGCAACCAGAAAAACACATGCCTGGACACACACACACCCCCTTCTGATCCACAGTGGTCCTGAAAACCTTCAAATCTTCACACTTGACCAGTGCTGAGCGGGGTGCTTTGAAAGAAGCCTTGGATCGGCAGCCCAAGGCCAGGCCTCAGGTTCCCACTCGGTCAAACCAAAGAAGAGAAGCCTTTCCGATAGAAATGGACCAGGGTAGGGGTGCCTGGCTCCGTTGGTTAAGCATCCGACTTCAGCTCAGGTCATGATCTCGCGGTCCGTGAGTTCGAGCCCCGCGTCGGGCTCTGTGCTGACAGCTCAGAGCCTGGAGCCTGTTTCGGATTCTGTGTCTCCCTCTCTCTGACCCTCCCCACTCACGCTCTGTCTCTCTCTCAAAAATAAATAAACGTTAAAAAAAAAAACAAAAAAAAAAGAAAGAAAGAAATGGACCACAGCCATACGGGTCCACGGCCGCCCAGCCCCCCTGGTGTCCAGACCTGAGACAGGCACCCACGGTCTTCTCTAACAGCGCTGTGAACACAGCCAGGTGCCGTGCGACCTTAGCGGCCGGGCCACTCTGTCCGCTCATCCTGAGCCTCCACACAGTTTCTCCAAGACTGCTACCAAGTCCGGTCCTACCCGACCCATCGAGAATATTCTTTCTTCACTCCCAAGGTATTAAAAGCACATCATAACCGATGGAGGGAATTCTGAAAAAGATAACTCGCTTAACCTAACAAAGCTACCGGTCTCGCCGATCCTCTGCTTTGTTTATTGAACCAGTGATTATGTCTTCAACGGTTGCAAACGGCAGCCCTGTGCCCTCACATGCTCCCCGCCTTGTTGCCTATTTTTGGTGGCTGCTGACAGCCCATCAGGAGGATGCCATCAACAGCTCCCCGGACAGGTGGGCTGGCTCTTTCCAGGTTTTCGCCGCTACCAGTAACATGGCCACGAACGTCTCTGTGCAGAAAATGGTGTCCGTATTTCAGATGATTTCCTAGGACTGGACCCCTGGAACTACCAGCATCACTCACGTTGATGGCTCCTGCAGCTGACAAATTTCTTTAAAAAGCAACTCGGGGATGCGCATTCTTCCCAGGACTAGGAGCTCCCACTTCCCAGTACGCTCCACGGAGGTTCTGCCCAACTAAGGGGTGCAAAAGAGATGCCCCTTAGTCCGAGCCCTCGTCTCTCGGAGGCCACACACGTCTGTTTTGCTGGCTGTCGCTTTCTTTTTTTGTACAATCATCCGTTCACGTTGTGGTGGACACTGGGACGTCCCGCTCCGGTCCCCTTCGAGGAAATGCTTGTTGGCCCAGCAGCAGGGAATGTGGGCAGCTGGGGGCAGGTGCCTGTGAGGGGCGGCTCCCATCCCACGACCGGTTGAGGATGTCCCAGCCCAACTCGGAACAACCCCAGGGGGCCATTCTGGTTCTAGAGTTTCCCATGGTGCTGGCAGATGCCGTTGCTGGGGCTCCATCACGGCTCTAACTCCCCAGCGGCAACCTCCCCAAACTTCCATCCCCTGTCTTACATAGATGCATCTAATGACCCCCCCGCACACATTAAACTCCATCCCAGGGTCTGTCCCCCGGGGAACCCTGCCCATGACATGGTCCTCAGGTTGCAAATGTTTCCTGTGGATTCCAGCCCAGTGTTCTGGCCTCTGACAGCCATGGGGAACATCACTCCTCGGTGCACTGTCCATTCTTTCTGGAAACTGCATCGCGTTGCTGCCTGCACCACCTTTACCCAACTGATAAAAACAAGAAGGAGGACCGAGCCCAGCAGGACACCGTGGGAAAGCTCCCCCAGGAGGAGGCTGGAGTCCCCGTGCAGCCCTGCGTCCCCGGCTGGCCCACAGTCAAACCCAGATCCCGAGCCGACTCAGTCCCAAAGAATGAGCCCACGCTGGCTGGCTCCCTTCTAATGGTCCAGTCATCTGTGCGGAAATCTGTTTCCGAACCGAGCCTGGGACAGGTGCACCTGTTTGCAGTTTGGACAAACCCTCCTCTGGAGTCTGTTCCCCACGGCCGGCTCATCCTCTGTCCCCCCATGACTTCTCAGGCGCTGTGGACAGTGGATCTTACGTATTATCCGCCTGGGATCCAATTCCTCGGAAGCTGGAGACCTCCACTCCATCACAGCGGCTCTGTAGACCCTCTCCCCTCACTGAGTGGGACTCCCAGGTCCTGCTCAGCTTTCCTGTTTCCAGGCCATTCTCCCTAACAGAGAAGATGGACGCGGACACGGAGCAGAGACGCTCTGCTTCCGTTCGGTCACCAATTAACACGGCACCATCCTCCTGGGCCAGCAGGAAACCTCCTGTATTTCTCCAGTCATGAATCTGTTTTTGGTTGGGGAAAAAATTTTCAAGTGCAGAAAAGCACACAGAATGTCGTAACAAACACCCATGTATCCACCAGCTGGAAAGGATATATGTTGGCATTTGTCATATTTGCACCTAATTTTTTTTACATGTTTATTTTTGAGAGAGAGAGAGAGAGAGAGAGAGACAGACAGACAGACAGACAGACAAAGAGAGAGAGAGAGAGGGATTGCACCAAGGAGGGACAGAGAGAGAGGGAGACACAGAATCCAAAGCAGGCTCCAGGCTCTGAGGTGTCAGCACAGAGCCCGACGAGGGGCTCGAACCCATGAACCGTGAGATCATGACCTGAGCCGAAGACGGACACTTAACCGACTGAGCCACCCAGGCACCCCTGCCCTAAGTTTTTAAATAAAACATTAAACCACACCGTTTTTATGTTTCTAAACTTACATAAATTCTGTATCTCCCCTACCCTTCTGCACTTGCTTTCCACACTGAACCTTACATTTTTGAGA